ATTGACGCCCTTATTTTCCACCAGAAGTTATACGATAAGACTTCAATTTTTGAAAGACGAACACAATTGGACTATTTTATTACCGCAAGCGAACATCCCTTTGTTGAAAAAATGGCGCCTTGGTATTTTGCCAGTAATAATGTGTTTAAATATTGCAAGTACTGAAGAAAATCTTCTACGGAAGTAGGGACAATGATAAGTGCACATGTGAAAGTGACTTGAATATGCAGCTTTGATGAAGATCGAAGACGCCGAAACGTTCCTAGAGTCTTAAACCTAGAATATTTTCATAAAGCTACTTATATTAGCTAGATTGATGCTTCATTAACTCGACCTATACTATAGACCTCCCAAGTTTTGTGAGCAGAAATATTAAAAGCTATAGCTATATTAAGAAGCTAAAAGCTATATTTATGTTAAGAAGCTATCTAGAAAAATATTGATTTGCAAAAATATATGGGGAAGGCTGTTTTTTTTGAGCGATTCTTTCGAATTCATTTAACTAGGAAATTCAACGATAGAAAGCTATATTTTAAAAACGTCTTTTTTTAAAATGTTTTTAAAATATAGTTTTTTTTCCCGTTGAATTTCCTAGTTAAATGTGTTAGTAAGTCGCTTCTTTCGAAATCGGCCTATTCTGAGCCAACATTATTTGCTTCCCTTCCTCCCCCCCCCCCCCAATATTAAGTTTTTTGGTTTGCTGTTTGAAATCTACCAACGATCAGAAATGAAAACATTACTCAATTCCGATTGGCCTAGAGCAGTGTTTTTCAAGCGTAATACAGCGCAAAAAAAGTGTAATTCAGTTCAGAAACGGGTAATACAGTGCAAATTACAAACGGAATTCTCACTTTTGATTGAATAATAAACAAGAAAACTAAAAGATTTGTTGCTAATCTTTAATGAGGGAAACCTACTCACTATAAGTGATTTTCAGTAGTGCCCTAAATAAGAATATAACAAGAAATATTACAATAATACGATTAAAGAAATATGAATAAACAAAAATATACATAAGAAGGTAAGTTGAATACGAGAAGAAAAATGTAACGTTACAAAATACAAAAATAAAGTGATCTAAAAAGTCTCATGATATATACAAAATATTAAAAAGCTAAAAAATAGCTATGATGATCGATAGATCATTGTGACGAAAACATTTTTGGAAAATTTGAAGCAAATGGAGGGGGAAAATGGCAGCCATGTTATACCTAGGTAAGTAAGCAACTGAAGATTTTACGGATTTTACTATCAAACAACTAAAAAAACAGCTCTATATTTCTAAAATAGACACACGAAGGAAAAAAAATTTTTGTTCTTATTTACTTATCAATTAACAAGATCAAAACTAATTTTAGTTTGGGTAAATAATACTAGATAGTTTCGTATTGATTATCTTTTAATTGATGGTTTAAAATGATTGGGTTTGGTTTAGTTATCTAGTTATGAGAAATGAGTGTTGTTTTGAGACCGTTATTTATAAATTGTTGAATAAAAAATCAACAGCTTGTTTTATTTATTAGTGGTGGCGAGCGAGCAATTATTTGCCGATGCCGAAGGTAAAACCAAATGATTGCTTGCACGACATTAACAAATCACGATATTTTGTGGCAACTGCTTATTTCAATATGTTTTTTAATAATAATGGGAGGTTCTTTATAGCGCATTTATACAACGTCTCAATGCGCTTTACATTAATAATTCAACAGGTTCTTTTATGTCCCCCCTTTTACTGCAGGTTAGGAAAGGTTGGGAGACAGGGCCTCTTTGTAACTTTATATCGGTTGTTAACTATATTGTTTCCTCGCTACGCTCACTCGTAAAATATCACGTCAACACTCGAAGGTAAAATCCGTTTCTCCGCGCGGCCTTGCAATATCCTCTTATTCATTACTATTATCGTCATCCTGTTTACACATTGCACGCGTACGAACTTTCCGTTGCGCCATTCCTAACTAAATAACAGTTATTGTAATTTGTATTTTATAAAAGAAATAAAAAAAACTTTGCTTGCTGTGCCGTTATAAAGCATTTAGGGATTGGCTGAACACTCGAGAAGCGTCCAGAAGCACTTCTAACACTTCTCTCGTGTTCTGCCAATCCCCGCGTGCTTAATGACTGCACAGCACGCGTGCGCGTTTTCTATTTCTTTGCTAGATAATGTTATGAGAGAGAGAAAATTAATGTTTTTACAGACTAAGCTAGACATCAGTTTTCTAATTACTATTTCTTATCGTATGAAAACAAGATAAAGAACGATCAATTAGCTATTAAAAATATAGATATAAGATTTCAGTAAGGCTACCATCACGCACAAGTTTAGAAAATGGTATGCTTTGAATTCACAAGTAAACCTCTTAGCTCCTCCCATTAGCATGTATACACCTTTGGTTACGCCCTACACACTTTTTACCCCTTCGCTCAGTTATTTTAGCACTATTCTTTTAAATCTTATGATAGAAATATTCCTCGTAGCTTTTTCTATACATTTACAATATATTCATATATTAACTTTAGTTTAAGCTATGTTTAAATCCAAGACCCGTATTACTCGTTAATAAGATATCACGCTCAACAATTTACGATTTCTTTTAGCCAATCATGATTCAACGATACTATCACATTGATTGTAGAATGACACCTGTCATGAAGTTATTATAAATAGGGCTCATGTAATTAGTTTAAGTCAGAGAAAGTAGAATAAAGATCCCGGAGCTCGTATCAGGGAATATTTAACGAGACGCAAGTCTTAGAGAGGCGATTTTCACTTCGCCTACGGTGAATAATTGTTAATTACTATTACTATT